GAAGACATGAGAATAAGTTCTACTTGTCAAACTTCAATCGGTACACATGCAAATTGTCTGAAGATTGCATAGCATGAAACTCTGAGTTCCGTTTTAATATTTCTATATCGTTCTACAATTGATGTATTGAGCACTATTTCAACAGTGGTATTTCTATATCGCTCTACAATTGATGTATTGAGCACTATTTTAACAGTGGCATTTCTATATCGCTCTACAATTGATGTATTGAGCACTATTATAACAGTGGTATTTCTATATCGCTCTACAATTGATGTATTGAGCACTATTTTAACAGTGGTATTTCTATATCGCTCTACAATTGATGTATTGAGTACTATTTTAACAGTTGTATTTCTATATCGCTCTACAATTGATGTATTGAGCACTATTTTAACAGTGGTATTTCTATATCGCTCTACAATTGATGTATTGAGATCTATTTTAACAGTGGTATTTCTATATCGCTCTACAATTGATGTATTGGGCACTATTATAACAGTGGTATTTCTATATCGCTCTACAATTGATGTATTGAGCACTATTTTAACAGTGGTATTTCTATATTGCTCTACAATTGATGTATTGAGTACTATTCTAACAGTGGTATTTCTATATCGCTCTACAATTGATGTATTGAGCACTATTTTAACAGTGGTATTTCTATATCTCTCTACAATTGATGTATAGAGATCTATTTTAACAGTGGTATATCTATATCGCTCTTCAATTGATGTATTGAACACTATTTTAACAGTTGTATTTCTATATCGCTCTGCAATTGATGTATTGAGCACTATTTTAACAGTGGTATTTCTATATCGCTCTACAATTGATGTATTGAGATCTATTTTAACAGTGGTATTTCTATATCGCTCTACAATTGATGTATTGAACACTATTTTAACAGTGGTATTTCTATATCGCTCTACAAGTGCATTGAGCACTATTCTAACAGTGAGAATTGGTCGTTATTCGGTAGTAAGTAAGTATTGTGGTGGGTGTCGGTAGAGTCTAGAGACAGGATATGGTAACCTTTCCAAAACAGCCTGGGGCCATATTACCGGAAACGTAACTAAAATAAATCCAGACTTTAAAAATATGGTAATCTGATTGGATAATAGAATTAGATTTGAAATCGATTTAGTGATTGACCAATGAGATGATTGGAATTCCAAAATAAATTTTCTACAATTATGCCATACAAAACTTTAAAATGTCTTGCTTAGTAATAACACACACGAACGTAGTTCACAACCATTTTGAATCAATACTTCGACTTAATAAGTCTAATTTTTAAAAGGACTATACTATTTCAATAAAGACTTCCAATCACATTTGGGAGCCGCAGTGGCTCAGTGAGTCAGACGCTTTCTCGCTAACCTGAAGGTCCAGGGTTCATAGGTCGAGATGATACCTTCAAATTTTTCAACTGTCAGTGATGCAGGTAGGAGGAGTTGACATGGCAAAAGCGTCTAGTCGTTCAGCTGGGACAGTAAACCGAGGCCCCTTGAGCTACAGGTTGTGCGCGTCAACGACCCCTCGACAGTTGGAAACCGAAAAAGAGCAGGCTAATGTAGATTTCCTGGAAAAATGTCCCTCATTGTACCCTGCATGGCGTTGTCTGTCTTAATTAGCCCACATGGTGCAGAGACGTAGGACGTAAAACTCCATTCATTTCATTTCAATTCATATTTAAAGGTTTAAAAATGGCTTTAAGTGTGATTTGAAAGCTTTGTTGAAATAAAAGGCTTTTTTTTTTTAAAAAACGACTTAATAATGATTCAAAATGGCAGTGAAATACGTTCGTGTATGTTCTTTCCACGTAAAAACCATACGCAGTTTCGTATGGAATAAGGTCTATAATGCCTATCTGAAATCTCCCACCGAGAAACCAGGCTAACAAACTAACTGATATAATATTATTTACAATAACCCGAGTATTCCATATAGCTCACTTATTATTGCATTTACTACCATTTCACGCTTATTTTCACTGTTTAGCAATTTTTATCTTTTCGTCGATTCGATCTACCTCTTTGTTATAGCTTTTTATCTCTCGAGAACATCAGTGTAGTCTTAGTTAACCCGTCGGATATTGGTAATTATTACATTGTTAAAGGGATTGTAAAGAGGTTTTCTTTATTTTGTTTTAAGTGTATCGAGCACACTGATATCATCAATTTGCACCATTCCAATTTTTAATCAGACGTCTGTGGTTCCTGAAATTCCACCAAAACTAAGTGTTGACTGACGTCACTAATAGCGACATATTATTATGCTTATATCAGATAGGCCTAAGACCTTAACGATAAATGACGTTGTAAAACACTTAGTTTTAGTGGAATTGCAGGAACCACAACGTCTGATTGCAAATTTATGCTAGCAGTGTCCCCGATGACAAAACACGGCTTAATTTGAAGAATCCAATCTTTCGTTCCGTTTTTTTTAACTTTAATTCTATATTTTATATACTGAAGCCACTTCGTAGGCCCTATATTAAAAATAAGAGCTAACAAAAAAAACGGAACGAAAGTTTGGTTTTTAGCCTGTTACACTGTGCCTCGTAAAAAATCAATACAATACCGACCAGATTAACACAGACTATTTGAACATGTAACTACACTAGGCGGATGGATAAGTAAATCAAGAAAACGGTAAGTGGGTTTAAGCGTACTAATCTGTGTAATAAGAAGGAGAATAGGAAATAATCAGAGGATCGATTCCAACGGAAATCATGACGCGACGGCAAAATAGACCATAGAGCTATACCTTGGTCGGCTGTTAACGGCATCAATTGATTACTGGATGATGTCGAAATAACCCTCCTTAAATAATTCTAGGGGCATCTCGGACAATTAGTCACTTAGAGAAATTTGCTTCAATTTGGATCTTTCCCCAAGATTTACAACGTTTCAAAATATTAGAATTGTTCCTCTGTCAAAATCATCAATGCGTCATTAATCTCGTACAAATACAGAATTTACATGAACAACTCTGCAACAATACAAATTGAAGAAGGAGTCTACAAAATTTCCAAAGAAGCAGACGACAAGCGGTGAAGTGAATCGGTGGAATCTTTTCTTATGTAAACGAAGTGATAAGATTAAGGGAGTAACAATTCGCCGGAAGTTGGGTAGGAATATCTATGTCTAGTCGTATTATTTTAGACTTTGAAGGAAATTCGATTTTCTAATGTGAATAAGATTAGATTAAACTGAGAAGAATCGTTCCACATCTTAATTCAATTCTCATAATATGATTACCATCAACTTAAACTATGTATTGGTGAAGTTTGGGGGTCGCTGCTCTTTGAGCTCATTCGATATAGGCTTTAGAGATGTACAAGTTTTTCTGGAATTTTAAGGACCATAGAAATCGAATTGGTTCAAACAAAACACAAAGTTCCGTTTTCAGAATTAGCTGAAGATGATTATGTACCTGAGAAGCGTGTCGACAACATGAGAAAATTTGGGGGTCTTTGCTCAAATGGGCTGACGTATGGGCTCCCTAAGAGATAGTAACCTCACAAAGTGGTCGAGTTTTTCTCGAATTTTTAGAACCATAGAAATTGAATTGGTTCAAACAAAACAAAGTTCCACTGCCAGTATTTGTTAATAAAGATTTTATATCTGAAACATATGTCTCAGTGGCTCACCTAGATGAGTGGGGCCCTTGGACCGTAGTGGGTTAGGGGACCCCCTTCGAAATTTTTTTTAAATTATAATCTCCTGATTTTTTTTTCATTTTCTAAGTTCAACAAGTCCTTAGCCTTATGGTAGTTGAGCCTTTGATATGTCGACAGATAGCCTGAGATAAACCTAGATGAGTGGGGCCCTTGGACCGTAGTGGGTTAGGGGACCCCCTTCGAAATTTTTTTTAAATTATAATCTCCTGATTTTTTTTTCATTTTCTAAGTTCAACAAGTCCTTAGCCTTATGGTAGTTGAGCCTTTGATATGTCGACAGATAGCCTGAGATAAACCTCAATGAAATTTCATCCATCGATACAAATCAACTACAATGTACGATGTCTTTAAAAAATAGATTGATGAAACTTTCGACTGATTTCAGAAGAACAACTCAAGACTAGTTCAACAATATTTGACACATGATTATAAGAATAACAAATATAGAATCCATTTCACTCGGCCTTGTTTTCCTACGACCGAGTTACTTTCGTGCTTTCTATTACTTTTCTAGCAATTCGATTAAATTGACGACGAATTTTCTCTCAAAATGAACCAAGTGCACCCACAATGGCGACGAGTAAAAATTGTCGTTGGGAGCAAATGGAATGAAAGAACGAACGAACGATTATCCAATATTTTTACACAATGCGGAAAAATACAAGTAAAACAATATGCCCATACAGTCATACCGAACGTGGGCCTACATAAGTGTCCAGGTGTGAGGTTCAATTGAAGCCTATAGGCTAATTACCCAAGCCGATTGCACTCTTTTACAATGTCAGTCCTTGCCGGTAAATACACGGATTATGCCCCCGCCCTTCCCCCTGAAAAAATTCTGTCAACCGACCAAGTCTATTACTGCAACTAAACACCATTGTCCCTTCGCATATATCACTTGCCCCTCCGAACAATCAAATCTGACTACGGCCCGCCTCAGTCCCTTCGGTCCACATCACTGATAGGGGGTCTCTGATTTCTCTTTCAAATGACTATACGCTTGTTCCATGTCAACCGTCAAGTTAGAGATTGGTTTCAAGTCGTGGGCTGTGTTCCGATACGGAAGGCTGGAGATGAGAAAGGAAGAAATAATTACCAATTCCATGTCGGTGCCAATTTAATTAAGACCAATTCCCCATTGTTTGTAGCTAGTCACAAGCATGGAACAAAATACACTAATTATGTAGACAAGAGATACGATGGGGCGATATGTTTGTCACTTCTTCAATGATCAACGATAGTTGTTAATTCACATCGTTATTCACCCCGGTATATCCACTGTTAGTGATGCAGGTCAGAGGGGCTGACATCTATCTCACTGTTAGTGATGCAGGTCAGAGGGTCTGACATCTCACTGTTAGTGAGGCAGGTCAGAGGGTCTGACATCTCACTGTTAGTGATGCAGGTCGAAGGGGCAGACATCTCACTGTTAGTGATGCAGGTCGGGGTCGGAGGGGCTGACAACTCACTGTTAGTGATGCAGGTCGAACGGGCTGACATCTCACTGTTAGTGATGCAGGTCGGGGTCGGGCTGACAACTCACTGTAAGTGATGCAGGTCGGAGGGGTTGACATGCCATTGTTAGTTTTTCAGGTACGAGTGGCTGACATCTCACTGTTAGTGATGCAGGTCGGAGGGGCTGACATCTCACTGTTAGTAATGCAGGTCGGAGGGGTTGACATCCCATTGTTAGTTTTTCAGGTACGAGTGGCTGACATCTCACTGTTAGTGATGCAGGTCGGAGGAGTTGACATCTCACTGTTAGTGATGCAGCTCAGGGGGGCTAACATTCCACTGTTAGTAATTTAGGTCGGAGGGGTTGACATCTCACTGTTAGTGATGCAGGTCGGAGGAGTTGACATCTCATTGTTAGTGATGCAGCTCAGGGGGGCTAACATTCCACTGTTAGTAATTTAGGTCGGAGGGGCTGACATCTCACTGTTAGTGATGCAGGTCGGAGGAGTTGACATCTCATTGTTAGTGATGCAGCTTAGGGGGCTAACATTCCCTGTTAGTAATTTAGGTCGGAGGGGCTGACATCTCACTGTTAGTGATGCAGGTCTGAGGGGTTGACATCCCATTGTTAGTTTTTCAGGTACGGGTGGCTGACATCTCACTGTTAGTGATGCAGGTCGGAGGGGCTAACATCTCACTGTTAGTGATGCAGGTCCGAGGAGTTGACATCTCATTGTCAGTGATGCAGCTCAAGGGGGCTAACATTCCACTGTTAGTAATTTAGGTCGGAGGGGCTGACATCTCACTGTTAGTGATGCAGGTCGGAGGGGCAGACATTTCACTGTTAGTGATACAGGTCGGAGGGGTTGACATCTCACTGTTAGTGATGAAGGTCGGAGGAGTTGACATCTCATTGTTAGTGATGCAGGTCGGAGGGGCAGACATTTCACTGTTAGTAATTTAGGTCGGAGGGGCTGACATCTCACTGTTAGTGATGCAGGTCGAAGGGGCAGACATTTCACTGTTAGTAATTTAGGTCGGAGGGACTGACATCTCACTGTTAGTGCTGCAGGTCGAAGGGGCAGACATTTCACTGTTCGTGGTGCAGGTCGAACGGGCTGACATCTCACTGTTAGTGATGCAGGTCGGAGGGGCAAAACCAGGAATATAAAAATATGGGTCAACTGTATTTCAACGTGACGATAGATTAAATAATTATGAATATTCTCGACCACGATTGCCCTCCATACGTTATTTCATTTCTGTACAATTATTATTCATTTAATATCATCATCCGAATCTACGTACCATGGTCTACAGTAAGACTAAGAGACTAACTTACTATATTGTGCGTTACACTTATAGATTTTTTTAATTTTGTATTTTTTAGGGGGGGGGGGGGGGGGTGGAGCTTAAGAGTGGGGTCCGTGGACCAGTTCAAATAGTAGTTGGGCCACTGTACAACTGATAGTACTCCGGCCGTGATTACAAGGGGGTAAGACCTCCCCCCTCTGCCCCTTTGAAAACACCTTGCCTCTCCGGTTATATTACTCCCAACAATGAAGTCGTGCTATGGGCCTGATTATACATATAATGAAGACAGAAAGGGCTATTACAAGCTCTGTGTTTCGGACACTACGTGTAATAAATATAGTTCATGCGTCTGTGTAATTGCATAAAAGTAGGTCTGTTGGTGACATTTGATTTTTTTATCAGTTAGAACAAACGTACTCATTTTCGTCTACAATATGTCGGCCGATAAAAGTCAATTGAAGCAAAATGAAGATTATTTGACGGATTTTACGCCTGAAGATTACCTCAAAACTACCTCCAGTAATTTTGAAGACGAAGGCGGACTGCGAAAGTTTTTTTTCGCTTGCTACAATGAGATTTATAAATCAGGTAAGCTGAAATTCATCCAAGGATGCCCTGAAGAGTTTCAATGTGAATAAGGGCAATAACTCATACTAAATATTTTTGATTTTCAATAGGTTTTATCTTTGGGTGATGACAAACACTCATGCCAAGTTTCGTCAAAATCCGTCAAGAATTGTGCCTTCTGGAGTGTGTCCGGCTAAAAATTGAACGCGTTTTCAAGAACAAGGGCAGTAACTTATACTAAATATTTTCTGATTCTTCTGATTTTTAATAGGGTTCATCCTTGGGTGATGACGTACACTCATACGACGTTTTGTTAAAATCAGTCAAGAATGTGTTAGTAGAGTGTTTACGAGCAATTGTGGACGGACCGACCGACCGAAATATACGCCCCCTCATTTCATGTGGGCGTATAAAAATAAAAAAAGAGAAAGCTGGCGCCGCCGACCTGGAAAAGCATGCCCTCCGGGCCCGTACGCTTGCTCGCTAACCTGAAAATCTTCAATAGGGTTCAATCTCAGCAGAGGTCGGGATAGGCCTAAGAGGGGCTGACATGGAATAAGCGTCTCGTCATTCGGATGGGACAATAAACCGAGGACGCGTGTACTACAGGCTGCGCAAGTTAAAGATCCCTCGACAGTTGGAAATCGAAAAAAAGCAGGCTAATGCTGCTGTCTTGGCAAAATTTCACTCATTGCACCCTGCATGGCGTTGCGTAAGTAGGACGTAAAACTTCGTTCATTTTATTTCCGAACAATCGAGTCTGGTTACGGGCCTGTTGCACTCTACCTACTAACTCAGACACGAAAACGGAACCTCTAGATTTGCATTTAATGAAATCGTTCAATTATCGTTGTGTTGCAATATAATATTCCAGGTGCAGTAAAGGGCAGACGACTAATGGATGTCGGGACAGGACCTATACCTATCTCAGTGGTCACTGCCGAACCTTACGTTCAAGAGATCTTCTTCAGTGACTATGCACCTTCTAATCGAGATTACTTATACCAATGGTTGATTGGATCATCCAGACAAGATTTTAAAGCTCTGTTCCAGTATGTCACAAAGCTTGAAAATAAAGGGTATGTAGTCGACGTGGAAGCGTTAACAAAAAAAAAGGGCGTGGTGTCATGTGTTAATGCCTTAAAGGTCATAGTTGACCATTATGTGAGATCAATCGTACCTTGGTCTCAAAAACAGGGATTGTTCAGCCATCCATACAGTAGTTTTTTAACACCTCCCAAAAATCATAATGATCTTAAATAGTTTACGTAAACTTTTTAAATATTTACGGCCGGATTGTTTCAGCCTAATCTTTCAGATATGTTAAGGGACACATTTTTCTACATTATGTTATATAGTTTTAATAAATTTGAGCGAAAAACAAAATGCCCCTTTAACACAATAGCTTACTTTCAAATTCTATACAAAATCAATCTACTTACCAACGTGAGATGGTATGCTCTTGCTTGGAATACAGATGAAAACATACTTCAGTTCATGATTTGCTATATTGCTAGGAACACAGATGAAAACATACTTCAGTTCATGATTTGCTATATTGCTAGGAACACAGATGAAAACATACTTCAGTTCATGGTTTGCTATATTGCTAGGAACACAGATGAAAACATACTTCAGTTCAGAATTTGCTTTATTTCAGGCAACACTGGGAAGAAAGATCTTCTGCCCTGAAAAACAAAGTTGGTGGAATATTTCCAGTCGATCTGCTTAACGATAAGGTGTTCGGAGAAAATCTCTTTCCTCATTTTGACGTCATTACTTCCAGTTTAACGTTTGAATCTGCAGCCAATGAAGTAGCAGATTGGGAAAAATTTGCAAAAAGGTTATCAAAATTTCAAAAACCTGGTGGCCATTTTGTCATCAATGGAGTTATGGGATGTACTTTCTATAACGTCGGTCCAATTAAATTTCAAGCGTTCCCAATAAGTAAGGATAAGCTTCAAGAAAGCTTCACCAATGCGGGGTACACTATACAGTATTTTAAGGATCATGCAGGGCCCCCAAAGGAAGAAAATGTCATATCTAACTATGAAAAAGGGTTTGTTATGCATTGTATACGAAACTAACCCAAAATTTTACAGTCTAATTTACCAAACGTTCGTCCTGTTTTTTATTACCTTTTATTTTTAATATAGCCACTTCAGTCAGCGTCTAAATACTGCCTTCTAAAACATTAGTCAGTTTGATGACACCGTCAGCCAAAAAAGGGTAGGAATTTAATTGACTGGCGGTGTCATCAAACAGACGAATGTTCAAGAACGCCGACCTTAGACCTTACTGAATTGACTTTATTACAAATAAAAGCTTATAAAAAATGGAACAAAAGTTTGGTCTTATTTCAGACTACCTAAATTCACAACTTACAATTCCTAAATTTCATCCATACTGACCAGCTGAAAAGTAGGTCGAACATCTTTATGCACGTGAAAGGCCTTTTCTCAACATAAACAAAAAATTTATTTTGTGCCGTGGGTGAAAAACTATTTACCAAATTTTCCATAACCTGACGATTCAATAGCTTACTATTTCATTGTTTCACATATTCCTGATTTTGAGAATTAAACTGACTTGTAACAATATGATGTCTTCTTCAGATTCCATGTTTGTTTACGTCACAAGCTGGCGCGAAACTGTATTTGAATTACTTTCCACATTTTCGTATTTTGATATCGTGGACCAAATCTATTTGGAAGGGGACACAGAAAGTTAAAACTGATTTGAATTAATTCATTGTGTTTTTGCAAATTAAACTGGCAAATAATCTTTCATGTTCCTGGAGATAATGAATTGAATACCAAAATACTACTGTTTTAGCCAATCATTAGACCGAAACGTCTCTCCCTATTCCAGTCTCTGATAGCTATTGGGACAGATGTCAGCTGGTGTAGAGACAGAAAAAAATAGGCTTTGTGAAATGGGTACCTTCAAAACCCAGATATATTTGTAAAGATGAATATTTTAGTAGTTCAGTCATACCATCATTTATGTCATGTCTCCAGTTCCATCAAAGTCTTTTTTAACGAAAGCGATCAGGTCACAGACACTTGATACTAACAAACGAAAGTTGAGGTGATGCCCAACACTAATTTACAGTCACCGTAAAGTTAATTTAATATAACATTAGAAAAACGCATCTTTGGAGGTGTGGAAAATCCCCATTTAACAGGGTCTTTATTCTGACTCTACTCCAGCTGACAACTGTCAAAATATCTATCAGAGGCTAGAATAGAGGAAGATGTTTAGGACTAGACAATCATAAACGTCCATGGCAGTACAGACTGGATAATAGAAAAAAGACAAATTATTGATCGTTCTATGACGGTCACTGGTCAGAAAAATCGTCTGCATTTCCTTGGTAATCAGCTTATTACGAGTTAATTAGCTTATTACGAGTTAATTAACGACTCGTGAGACAAACTTGGATTTTTCCTGATCATCAGAACACCTCTACTTTCGATTGATATAAGTATTAGCTGTCCAATAATCGAATATATATATAGACACAGCTTTAAGGAACAACAACCACTGGTTAAAGTTTTATGCAACCTTCTACGTGTTTCCCCCCTATCATTCTCAGGCACAGAATGATATAGTTTGCCCATCACCTCGGATCACAAACTGCAGTAACCCTCTAGAGTAAACCCTCTTCTCGGATTGCTTTCCAATAGAAATAAATAACGAATAATAATGAAAATGTTTTAATCACAGTTTAAATTGGATTCTGTGGCTTATAGTTTCTATACAATTTATTTCCCTTGACTCCCACTTGAACGAAATGTTTGTTGCGTAATTTTTGCATATACATAATATCTTTCTTCTTCTGTTCTACCATTGGTCCTAAAATAGAAAATAGAAATACTTTCCCTGTGACAAGCTAGTTTTCACAAAGGGCCAGGCCCAAGCCCATATCCAGTCTTAATTGTTCAGAGGGGCAATGGTGTATGGTGTTTAGTTGCAATAATGGAATTGGTCGATTTTAACAAATTTTTTCACAGAGTAATCCATTTTTTCGAGGGTACATTGCTTTGTCTTACAGTATTACTGAGACGCTTTACATGGAATGACCAACCAGTTTACTTTAAACTCTATAATGACAAAGGGAAGCAACTCCTACCTGTAGCTCCAGTCCAGCCTAAAGCTCTATATTGAGAAAGAATACCAGGCATGATGGCTCTATGTTGTGGTCGGTGAGTTTCATGGCGTAATTTCTGTTTGTAATATCTGGCAAGTGATCGATGACCAATGGTGGCACCTGAAACAAGTAACAAAACCAATATATAGATCATTACCATTACAGGGATTGTAAATTCAAAATTTCTCATGTGTATTGGGAACACTGATAGTACCTATTTGTACCATTCCAATTTTCAATCAGACGTCTGTGGTTCCTGCAATTCCACTGTGTTTGTTAGTGTTTCTGATTGCGAATATCAACATTTTAAATTGTTGAACACTTGAAAAAATGATTTAGATGCATTTAGTTTTAAACGGGCAACAACCATGCAGTTTGCAATGGGGGAAATTTTGTCAGTACAGCAGCATTAGCCACTCTTTTTCTATTTCCAACTATCGACGGATCTTTAATATGCACATCCTATAGCACACATGGCCTTCTGAACGACTTTTCCATGTCAGACTCTCTTATCTGCATCACTGACAGGGGCAAACTGTGTCTAAAAATCAGGTATCATCTGCAGTCGACCCATGCCGAGATTAAATCCTGGACTTCCAGGTAAGCCTTCCGCTTCCGATTCCTTCATGAGAAAACGTCAACCTACCTGAGGGTAAAACCAGTTCAAAACCTTCTCCAACTAGATCTGGTGTATCAATTTCCATTTCCTCTTCCTCATCTGTCTTTCCTTCATGATCTGGGTAACTTTTTCTACAATAATATAGTTAATTAACAGGACAGTTTGACATTTTCAAGGGTTGATTTGGTTCTTGACAGTAAGCTGTGAACATTATTACTGATTAGCTCAGCTAAAAAACTCCCCTTTCTGAGACCAAGTACAATCGGTCAATTTTCACATTTTCCTAATGAAAAAAAACTCCAAAATATGAATTTAAATCATTCCAATTTTCAATCAGACATCTGCAGTTCTTGTAATTCAACTAAATGTTTGATGAAGTCACTAATTTGAAAGGGGCTTATGTGATAAAAGCATGTTTAGCTATTAGTGACATCATTAAACCCTTCGTATTAATGGAATTTCAGGAACCACAGACGTCTGATTGAGGCTCTTGGTTCCCCGGATACACATCTTTTTTTAGAAAACCTCTTTACAATCCCTTTAAATTATGATGGACAGATATGAAAACCATGTATGCCTTACATTTGATATCAATTCTTACTGCTGAAATACCAACCTGTAATCATAAAAGTCAGAATATTCGAACACAGCCTCGCCTTCATGTAACATTTTACTATGTCCTTTATCTACCATGTGATTTTTAGCTGCCTGTTTGGAGTAGAATGATCTGCCTTTAGTATTACACCATAAACACATGTTGGCCACACCCACTTTTTCACCTGTTAATAATCATAGATTCATAATGAAAAGAAATGAATGGAGTTTTACGTTCTACTTTTCTGAACCTAATTGGTTTTAACGGCTTAAGTATACTCCTTTTCGATTTCCAACTGTCGAGGGATCAGCCTGTAGCAAATGAGCCTTCAGTGCAAATATTTTGCTGCAAATCCATATTGAGATTAGACCTCTTAATGCCACTATATGACTTTGTTTGTCAAATTTGTCAACTTAATATCCCCTTTTAGAGAGTTCACATATCTAACAATATCTATCTATATCTCACCTAGATATGAAATGAGGCCCTCTAAATTCACCAAATATTCTGCATCAGGGATAAAGAAACTATGTTCCTCAGTCATATGTTTTACATTGTCTTCTAAACTATCACCGATTACCGAACAGAATAAACATTCTTCTATCGGCAAGCTTTCTACATCATCGCTGTTCCAACTTTCTACCTCACTCCCTTCTAAAAAAACAATTTATATTCAGCAGTCAAAACATAGCCTCAACTGATTCCATTTATGGGGACTAATGTGCCATTTCCTTTATTAATGATCGTACATTAGTCTCAGAAAGGGGAATTTCTCTTAGTCAATCAGTAATAATCTTTATAGTTCACTGCGGATCCAAATCCATGTGTTTCCAGAATTATCCATGTTTGAAAGTTAAAAAGTCTTTTCTTAAGACACTGCCAAAAATAGACATCGTTAGGAATAGGAAAAGAAATTCCTACTTTGAGATATTTTTGATTGAATTACGAGATATTCTTACATTTCTAGTAATTCTGAAGACATTTACATATTCAAGACACATATCCACCCCCCAAAATGGCACACCTGTCCTTTTAAGAATAATGGACTGAATGAAAGCCATATTCACATCAGAAAGATAATTCTAAAGCCAATATTACCTTCATCATCATCATCTGACATTTCTGCGTCTGGTGACTGACTACTAATTGCAGCATCTGTTGACTGTTGAGAGTTATCCCCCTTGGAAGAGCCTGCTTGTGAATCTGATCTGGAGATGGCTTTATTCTTTTTATTTTCTTCAGTCTCTGGGTCATAATTCTTCTCTGCTTCTTGATGTTTTATAGATTTAACATGTGTTTTATACGCATTCTCTGAATTAAATTTCTTTTTGCAAATTAGGCATTGTGAAACAGTATTTTTTTCAGATTCTTCAACCTAAAATGAAAACAGTTAATACAGTGGTGTAACCTATTTTAGTACATATAAGGATTAAATACCGAATTTCGTCAAAATTAAAAAAACAGAAAAATTTTGTTTATGTCTTAGATGTTTCCTCAGATATTCTTTAAAATAATCAAAACTGGTTTGTTTCGATTTTCTTTATGAATCTCTAATTTTGACACAACTTGACAACTGCGGCAAAATGCGTCACCTATGTTTGTGTAAAATGTTTGATCTATAAATAAGTTGAGAAAAACATGTATGGATACTCGGCGGTACAATTAACTTTTCTTCGTATTTATCTTTAATATCAATTCATTATAACTAGTGACAATTCCTTCAAAGAACAATGATTTTTCAAAAAAAAATATTGACTGACAAAATAAAATATGTAAAAGGTAAGAGTGATTTATTGCTAAATAAATTAATCATTTCGAAGACGGACGAAAAATAGGTTGGCACGAAATTAGGTTACTTGACTGTATATAATATTTGAAAAATCTGTTTTAGCAAAAATTACTGATATCCAGGAATGGCAGACCGCATGATTTCCATGGTATGTTTATAAATACCTGAAATTGAGCTCCATCAGCTGGTATAGTAAACATTAAGATGACTATAAAGATAGCTAAATTGAGCTCTATCAGCTGGTATAGTAAACAATAAGATGACTATAAAGATAGCTAAATTGAGCTCTATCAGCTTGAAAGGAAAAGCCATTAAGACAACTTTACTAATAACAGCTGAAATTGAGCACTTTCAGCTCGTAATTCAAAATTCAAATATAGAAGACTGCAAGCCTACAGATAGTTGAAATAAGGCTCTATCAGCTGGTAAAATTAAGCTATTTCGGCTGATAAAATTAAGCTATATCAGCTGATAAAATTAATATGGAGAAGACTGAAGGCCTACAGAAACAATTGTGCTCTTTCCACTGGTATGAAAAATATTAAGACTACACAAACCTTACAGTTGCCGAGTTGGCCTATCTCAAATAAATCCCACTAACCAAATTTTCTTACCTGACTTTTCTGTGCTAAAACTCTACTGTTGAAGTTCTCTGCAGTGACAGGAGGTAACTCTGCAACTTTTCGTTTTAAATTATAACGATGCCAATCTGTTTTATAATGGCTTCTCTGTAACTCTGCATCAGCGAACGCAACCCGACATGTTATACATGTAAACACAGACATGATTCTGCAAAAAATATCAAAAATAAAGTATGGCCTGCATTGGCCTAAAACACAAATATTGTGGGCCAATGTCCATCTTAATTATTAAATAGACATTAAACTACTTGACTAAACAATCAAATTCCAGTTTCACCTATAGAAAATCTGGATTCTTTCTAGTAGTAGCCAAGTGCCCAAGTCAGTGGACTTGGCCAAAGGGCCATCAGAGTAGCAAGGGAGGTAACAATGTAAAGACTCAGAACATCTTTAATGTTTTCTGTTTCATAACTGGTTTACTCAAACAGTTCACAAACACAATTGTGGACTTATTTTAATGAAAAAACTTATCTTACGTGTTTTCTAAAGTTTGGAGATCTTGAAATAAATCAGTCAAATGAAATATGTCTTTATAGATCAGCGTTGAAATAAATAAACATCAAATCCAAGACGAAGTTTCTGTAAAACACGCAATATAAATAATAATACCCACAATTCCTCAGGGGCAGATAACTCTTCAACTTCCTTTTCCGTCGACAATCCAATACAAACATGGTGAGAAATATTTTCTCTCTGAAAATCCATCAATTATACCCTCAATCCGAGGACAATCAATATTTTTTTTTAGCTGAAATAAAAAATAAATCATCGCTCTACAGTTCCTAAGAACTATTGCTCAACCTCTAGCATGGCTTATGCCAAAATTGTTGAAAAACTTAACGTCCCCAGACGATTTTATTTTCATTTGCTATTTACAGTCTAATCGTCATGAATTAAATTTCAGGCCCGAAGAACGAAAAAGGTTGGAATTGTTGGCAAATATGGAACACGATATGGTTCCTCTTTGAGAAAAATTATCAAGAAAATCGAAGTTTCCCAACACAGTAAATTCACTTGCAATTTCTGTGGAAAAGTAAGTAACTACAATTTTGTAGAAATATTTCATGTACAAACATTTCTGTAGAACCTTTACACAGTTACCAGGCTGTGCAGGGTAAATATGCATTAAAATTGTGAATTGAAGTTACATGACACAGAGTGTGTATGGTTTGACCACTTTGCTTTGTTGGCTTAGTAGGTAAAGCTTATTTGTATCGTGGCCTAAAAACATCATCAAAATTTATGATGCAAGCTTACAGATGCGATGCCAAAGGAACACCATTGCGTTGCTAAAAATATACATATATATCCACATATCAATTATTCCAGTTGCTCTTTTAGAGACTAAAATGTCTGTGATTTAACACTTTACCTTTTCAACTTGATTGGACAGGTCTGTTTCATTCATACATTGTTTTTATTGTTTTTGCAGGACAGTATGAAAAGGAAAGCTGTTGGTATTTGGGCCTGTAAAAAATGCCATAAAGTTGTAGCTGGTGGAGCCTGGACCTACAGGTATAGCTTCAATTATTCGTAGAAATCTCTGATTATGCCATGAGTGACTGGATTTTTATACGCCCACATGAATATGTGGTCAAATATTGTCGTCAGTCCGTCTGTCAAAATTTCTTGTGAGCACTATAGAGACTACAGTTTTTATCTGATTTTGATAAAACTTGGTGTGATGCTTTAGATTGATAAGATCTCGGTCAAGTTCGAATTTGACATATTTTCGATGAACGATTATTGAGATATTACCCTTGACTTAGAACGCCTTGAAATTTTTTAAAAATTGTTCGTGAGCAGGATTGAAGCTACAGTTTTCAACCGATTCTGATGAAACTTGGTGTGATCATTGGAATTCATAAGATCTCGGTCAAGTTCTAACTTGACGCATTTTCGATGAACCGTTTTTGAGTTATTGCCCTTGACTTTGTTAAAACGCGTCAAAATTTGTTAAAAATAGTTCGTGAGCAGGATTGAAGCTACAGTTTTCAACCGATTCTAATGAAACTTTGTGTGATCATTGGAATTGATAAGATCTCGGACAAGTTCTAACTTGGCGCATTTCTGATGAACGGTTTTTGAGTTATTGCCCTTGACTTTGTGAAAACGCGTCAAAATTTGTTAAAAATAGATCTTGAGCAGGATTGACGCTACAGTTTTCAACCGATTCTGATGAAACTTGGTGTGATCTTTGGAATTGATAAGATCTCGGACAAGTTCTAACTTGACACATTTTCGATGAACAGTTTTTGAGTTATTGCCCTTGACTTTGTTAAAACATGTTGAAATTTGTTAAAAATAGTTCGTGAGCAGGATTGAAGCTACTGTTTTGAACCGATTCTGATGAAACTTGGTGTGATCATTGGAATTGATAAGAACTCGGACAAGTTCTAACTTGGCGCATTTCTGATGAACGGTTTTTGAGTTATTGCCCTTGACTTTGTTAAAACGTGTTGAAATTTGTTAAAAATAGTTCGTGAGCACAATAGAAGCTACAGTTTTCAACCGATTCTGATGAAACTTGGTGTGATCATTGAAATTGATAAGATCTCAGACAAGTTCTAACTTGACGCATTTTCGATGAACAGTTTTTGAGTTAATGCCATTAACTTATGAAAAACGCGTCAAAATTTGTTTGTGAGCACAATAGAAGCTACAGTTTTCAACCGATTCTGATGAAACTTGAAGTGATCATTGGAATTGATAAGATCTCAGACAAGTTCTAACAAGAGATATTTTTGATGAACATTTTTTGAGTTATTGCCCTTGACTTTGTAAACACGCGTCAAAAGTTGTTTTTTGCCCTTGATTAGAGAGGTGTGATTTAATTGTTTGTTGTATTTGGGTTATTGATATTGATTTTAAAAAATTTTGTGGAATTATTCAGCATAAATAATTTCTTCAAAATAAGAAAATTCGTACTTTAGTCACTAAAGACTTTAATTATTTCTGACAGCTGCCAGTGGGCGTATGTTACCTTGCAACGCAAGCTATCTTTCCTTATTCTGCATAAGCAAAGTCTTGGCACTTTTTGATAGCTTATAATGTATACTAATTTCAATTGAGAATACAACAAAGTTCCCTATTATTTGTGTGCCCTGTCGCATTTAAGGAGTGTTGTTGCTTTATGTATTGGATGGCCTTGGTCTGAATCCCAGACAACAAACATAAAACAGAGGTTTTGTAAAGTTTGTATGTGTATCGGGGGCACTAATGGAATCAATTTCCACCATCTAACACTTTTTTTAGTGGAATTGCAGGAACCTCAGACATCTGATGAAAAATTAGAATGATGCAAATTGATGTTATCAGTGCAATAAGTCGTGGGCTAATAATTCTTGAAATATTTCTTTCATAGTGTTTTCATTAAATATGACCAGAATTTTGTCATAAAATGTTAATATAAATTTTTGTATTTATTTCAGTACCTCTGCTGCAGCCACTGTAAGAAGTGCTGTTCGAAGATTGAGAGAAATGAAAGAAGCATAAACTCTACACAAAATATTGACAAAAAATTAGCAAAAAAATTAATAAAATCTTGGAAAAAATGCTGTCTTTTTTTTTTTGAATTCTTAAGCTCTGTTGCACACCAAACTATGTATGGTTCTTACAAGGAAATAACACATCGAACACAGTTCACAGCCATTTTGATTCTTTTCCTCGACTACATGAATCAAATTTTTAAAAATGCCTAAATTTCAACAAAGCCTTCAAACCACATTTAAAAGTTTAGAAATAGACTTAATTGAAAGTAGTTGAAATATCATAGCCTTTTTACAAATTCTACTGATGAAATGAGGAAGAGATTCAAAGTGGCTCACTGTGATCTATGTTTGTGTGTGTTCTTTCCATATAAGAACTTTTGAGTCTTATTCTGTGTTGCAGAACTTGAACATGTCCCTTTGCCAAGATGAACACACACGTTTGTTGATTTGTGGACTCAACACTCTGCTTGGATTAATTCTCTGTGACAGATGGCAGTGGACAATGAGGCAATCAGTAAAGTGATACTAAATTGTGTTGATTAACATGAAACTAATTACTGTAGTTGACGGCAATTAGCAGATCATTCTGCATTAATCCTAACTATTTCGTTAAACTCTGCATGACATTGTTAGTCTTCATTAGTCCAGAGCACCAGATTATCATAACCGTAGTTCAGGTCACAAACTTTAAAATTTCTATCACTCCATTCGACAGTTTCCGTGAAGCTGAATCTGAGCGTTAAACGGCCATCGTGAAAGTAACGCTAGCGCTTTGCAGCTAACGGAAACTGCCAAGTGTCTGAGTGTTAGCGTAACTTTAACGAGGGCCGTTTAGCATCACTCGTATTAACTAGTTGACTAGTTAACTCACGGAAACTACCGAAGATTGATCTGAATGTGCTAGGATTTAACAACATCTGAGTTAGAGAGAAATAGAATTGATTCTTTTCATGCAAATATGAAGAGGAAACGTGACCGAAGATTCCATTATAAAATCTGGTGTTGACACGCAAGGCTATAATATGTTTATTTTATAAATAACTTTTATATAAATGCCAAAAGTTTTTCAGAAACAAAATCGATATAGATTCCAATTCGTGGAATTTGAAAGATCTTGCAAATGGAGAGTATTTTTCTACCCCTGTGTGGTCTTACTTATAAAGATATACTGGATACAGTTGCAAGGTCGTTCAATGACAGAGTTGTTTAAGTAGCCCCAAAATATGAAATTTATGATCTCACGGTCAATGTCTTCGATAGAAAACCCGATGTCTGCTTTAAACTCCTCACTTAAGGGGACAAGTGTGCCTTTTTCACAAATCGTACCTTATTCTCAGACACGAGATTTTGCTAGCCAAGGCAATCAGTAATAGTGTTCACAGATCACCGTCAAAATTTGAGCCGCCTTCACCATGTGTGTCCAGAATTATCCGCGTTTGTTAAAAAGTTATGGCCCTCTTGGTTTGGGGTTTTTGGAGTTCAAGTCTTAATTGAAGATCCTACTAAACTAGATGGTGTTAGACAATGAGAAATGGTCATCACTAAAGAGAGAGTAAAAAAAAATCCTTAAGGCAGGAGCCAATGTTACGTTACTGTGAGGACCCATCCAAATATTGATAAGTTTATGTAGGTTTAGAATCGAATAGAAATTGCCACATAGTTTGTTTAAATAGCGTAGAACCATTCCATAGCAACTTGCAGATAAACAAATATACACACCAGAACGATCTCAACCTCGAGAGTATCATAGAGTTGATATACTGCTCTATACGGAATATGCCGTCAATTGAAGTATCGAATATCATTGAAAAGGTGGATAATGAGGCTATGGAGACGATTCGAAGGCATTTATGTGTGTTTTCCACGTGTGTTTAAGCTTGCATGACCTAGGTCTGTTTTGATCTCTGCTAATTAATAATTAACGGGGTTTTTATTGATTAGAAAACTGTCGAGAAGACGGAAAGCGACATTGTTCAGAAAATAACATTCATTATACGGAATTCCGTAGTTCAACAACGCGGTGATATTTTACTCAGGTAAGCATTTCTATATTTTTGTATTTACCTAGTGCCTCTCGGCAATTGGGTTTTCTAATTTTGGAGCCCACCTTGCTTATATTTGTGTTTGATATTTGAGGTTTGTGGCTTTGTGGAAACAGCTTCCCTTTCTGGGAGTCCATATAGGTAATAATGAGTATTTGGTATGTAGAATTGTGAAATCAAGAGAGTCTACATAGTTAACAATGTTGATTTTGTATATCTGTATGTATAGAGAGAGGGGAGGCTGGCATCTAAGTCTGTAAGAAGCCTGTATTACTTTTCAGACTTGTAATATAAACATTAGTCAGTCTGTAATCAGAAAAAATGAACCGGTCGCTTGATAAAGGGACAATCTATCTTTTTAAGAAGGTGGGAAAATTACGTACTTAAAAGTTTACGAAAAATTTTTATATTCATAACTGACGTTATGTTTTATGTGTTTTTTGTTGGTATTGGAAAAACTAATGTACAGATTTAGCAAAATAAACGTCAAATTGTTGCAGAATATAACTGGGGGCCAATTAAGGCCCAACAGTAAAACTAGTTTACACAGCTCAATAAACAATTAATTCACAGCTCGTCGTCGAAATTTGAGCCTTCAAATCCATTTGTTAAGAATTATCCATGTTAAAATATTAAAATGGCGACTCGTCTTTTCTTGAGACTCTGTTATACATAGAAAAGACATATTATAAAGATATAAATGTGAAATTTCTAGTTTGAAGTATATTTGAAGGGTTTTCTGATCATTTCTATCATAGAACTTGACTGTACTTCTGAAGACTATTTACATATATTCAAGGCCAAAATCAAACCACGAAGATGGCGAATCTGTCCCTTTAAGGTTCAAATGCATGTTGGAAATCAATCGCATGAACATGGATTTTAAGAAGATATGTCTGAAAAAGGGTACGGTCCTCTGATCTCAAGAATTTTGAGGCAGGGTTCAACTAAGATTGAAAATTTTATTAGAAAATTCCGTTTTGACTAATCAAGTTAAATTTTTATTTTCATTTTATGAAAATTTGGTAGCAATTCCATCTGTAAGGTATTGTAGGTCTTGCCACAGACTTTAGTTCTTTGGGGCAACAGAGACCACCGAGTCGTAGCTTCCAGGAAATTTCCAGGAAAGTTATACAATTTGATTTCGTGATCATTTTATTTTTGGCTAATCGCAAAAAGGTGTCATTTTGATTCGCAAATTCCAATGCGATACCGCATAAACTGAACCCTGCTCCACATTATGCCGGAAGTGATGTAAGCGATGAAACAGTAGTCTCTGCAGCGTTCCAGGGGAGCTTAATGGAAAATAAACAATGAGTTAAACAAGAATAATAGAGCGATGTTGAATGACGTCATAACTAGCTGATAAAATCTGTATTATATCGATCAAATCGCGAGTTTAAAAACACGTTTATTTACCTTTTAAACATCAGCTTAATGCACTATTCTGTTTTTATATGAATTGTTGTATATTAGGAGTCGCGCGATAAGCGAGTCCTTCTTCATCTTCTTCTTTTTCAAATAAAAAAAAAAAAAAAAAAAACCCGTTCAACCTGTTCCGAAAAAAATAGTAGGTGCAGACAGAATTCAAAATTGCGGAGAAGGAAATAGATGGGGACATTTTGAATGTGACACATTCCGTACCGTTCGTCAATTGAGGGCAGAATTGGAACAAAAGGAACCTGTTCAGAACTCTCCAAACAAGCGCTACCAATGCCTACGTTATCATTAGCCCACGTGGTGCAGAAAAGTAGGACGTAAAACTCCATTCATTTCATTTTTCCAATGTTTCTGAAGCTGTTGTCCTGGTTGAAAACTAAGATGATTATGTTTACCCCCAGGAGAGTCAAGTGGTTTAGGAATTGTCAGAATAATCGGATTATATTCTTACTAACATTCTGAATGAGTCTGTACAGTTTGCCAGTAAACAATGTAGTTTATTTTCTACTTAGGCTACCTTATTCGTCCAATGAAAGGAAATGGAGTTTTAAGCAGTTTGACCCCTAGGTGCCTAGTACTATAGAAATATGGTTTGTACAGAATTGTACGCCCACTTCAATTCTTTTGCTTTTTATCCGTTTTTGCCTCAAGATATGAAATCAATTGAAAGCGACGTTGCCATCACCACCAACCCCCCGCCCCCACCCCATTGAGTCGGCTTCTCTTCTATTTGTGCCCCCAGTCTCTGAAAGTCGCCCCCCTCCCCCGAATCCAATCCATCCCACATAACATCTTCACAATGTCAAGCTATTATGAACTTATACCTTGACTACAATAGCCACCTTTAATGTATCACGGAATGCAGTGATTTGATTGGATTTTACGCAAGCGGATACAGCTTATTAGGGCGCTCGACATATAGACTGCAATCGTTATGTCTTATGGTTTGCAGACTTTCTGTCGAGGGATCTCATTGGCTCTATTTGGTAGCATCCAATCCAATAAATCACTGTACTGATAAAAAATTCATGATACACGAAAGGTGGCTATTGCAGTCAAGGTATTAGATCAAATTCCTTATAGCTTGACATTTTAAAAATGTCCACAGAATGGCCTGGCTGACAGCAACACGCTGTTATGTTTTATCATAATCATTGTACAATTTAAACACTGCTTATCGATCTCCAGCATTGATTACAGTGTTTGTTTGTTGGTTAAACGAGACTATTGTTTCCTGTAGTCCAATTTTCATAGTCCTAACGATACATTAAAACAACGTAATGGGGTTGTGCTTTCATTATAGTCGTTAATAGCTCTAGTCGTTAGCATATAGTCGCCATTTTGGAATCCGGAATACGAATGAAAATCGAATTAGACCAAACTTTTCGATCTATTTTGTTCTTTTTTTTTATTTTCATTCTTAATCCTTTTTAAATAAAGTTTGACCCAAAGACGTTAACCTCACTAACGTCATAACTTAAGAAAATCTAAGTAGCCAAGTATAATTCAATTTAAACCTAAAAAAAATATGGACAAATAACGGCAAACGGTCTAGTAGTGCCCTGGAACAGTCTA